TAAGAGCAGTATTGCTGCACATTAGCAAAAAAAAAAACCCAACCCCCCCCAAAGGAAATTAAAACAGCAAATTCTTTACAATAGCATCCAAATGAATAAAATATTTAGAGATAAGTCTAACCAAGGGAGTGAAACACTAGCATCCTGGAAACTACAAAATAAAAATTGCTAAAAAGAAGTTAAAGAAGACTTAAATAAATTAAAAGATCCCATATTCATGGATCAGCAAAATTTACACTTAAAATGACAATATCACTCCAAAGCAATCTACAGATTCTATGCAATCTCAATCAAAACTCCAATAGCGTTTTTTCCAAGAATGGAAAAGGTAATCCTCAAATTTATATGGTATTTCAAGGAGCCTTCGGTAGCCAGAAGGCTCCTTGAAAAATTGGAGGGCTCAAACTTCCCTATTTCAAGTTACTACAAAGCTACAATAATCAAGATACAGTGGTACCGACATAGAAATAGGTACATTGTCCACTAGAATAAATTGAGAGTCCACAAATAAACCCACATCTATAGCCAAAGAATTGTCTCACCAACAAATGGTGCTAGGACAACTGGATATCCACCTGCAAAAGATGACAATGAGACTGGATCCCTATATCACACCACATACAAAAATCATAAAAATATTAACTCAAAATAAATCAATGGCCTAATATATATATGAGCTAAAACTATACTACTATCCTATAAGAAAAAATCAGGTGCAAACACTCATGACCTTGGACTTGGCAATATTTACATAAACATAAGCACAAAAAAGATAAATTGTACATCATCAAAATAAAATCTTTTGTGCATCAAAAGACACTCCCAGACTGGGAGAGCAACAGCTCTCTATTTTGTCCTTTGCTTTTGATTCTCTAATTTAATTCAGTATTATTATTTATTGAACACTCATAGAATATCTCCCAATATGTGGACTGTTCATAGCTTTGTAACAGTAGCTATCTTGAGAATATATATCACCTACTATTCAAAACAAACAAAAGCTTCTCATAGTCACAAGAAAGCAGCCACAAAAATCAGCACTTACCTGTCATAGGCTCCAATTTTTCTTTGCACAAACTCTCTTTACTCAAGTTCTAATCAAATCTCTCCCTTTTTTCTTTTGGTGGTGTTGGGGGTGGAACCCAGGGTTTTTTGCATGCTAGGCAAGTGCTCTAGCATGCTGAAGCTGCATCTCCAGACCTGAATCTCCCTATTTTGACTTCATTCAATTCTCTCTAACTTGTGATCATGACTAGTTTGGGCTTCTGCTCAGAAGTGTCCTATAAAGCATGCCTCCCCTATCATAGGTAAAACACACATACAAATAAAAAGAATATTAGTAATGAGTATCTGTAGGGTAAAGGTCCAAACCAGACTATCTTCCAAATGTGAATAGTCATAAGGAATCATAAATATAAGTTTATAAGTTATTGGTAAGAGTTTTCATATACATGCCAAGTATGTATATATAACAATAAACAGAAGCTGTCAAAAAACAGTACTAGCTGTATTTTTCTTTTTTTAACTGGACATCATTTATTTTAGTAAATTAAGAAATATGGTCTTTGGCCTGGAATAGCCCATTGCCCATTGTATTGTGTTCACAAAGGACAAGACCATACCCATTTATAAACTTGACCTCTGAACTCTTATTACACAGATTAAAACAGTGACATTCTTTCATACTTGCTCAAATATACAATATGCTAAGAATTATGTAATTATATATACACCCACACATAACCTTTTCAAAAAGATACCCAATCTATGCTTAAGTAACCAAACAGACATATTTGTAACTAATCATACATTTTATAAGCATTTCACTAAAATATTAAAGGTATACACAATATATTGGCATGATTATTTTATATAAAATGGGTACAATAAGGATGTATAATTCATTCATTTGATCCTATACTGTAAATCTTACAAGAAGCATCAAATTCTCTACTTTTGTACAATGGGACATAGATTTGAAGGTCTGATTTTAGCTGGAAAAGGATATACTATAACAAGTCTAATGACTAAGCAGCTGCAGATTCTAAAAAGAGTTTTATATTATTTTGAGTTAAGCACTAATTTATGTTTTAAATTTTCCATCCTGTGATATCTTTTTAGGTGCATGAAAAGAAAAAGCAACAATATTTAGAATGCAGGTTTGTAAGTCCCTCATTTAGTGAAAGTCAATAAAAAGAGAAAAATTTTAGATGTATCTTCATTTACAACAATTTCATGGGTTATTTTTTAAAGTATTCTTCTATCTCTTCAGAAGGACTTTAAGCCAAATGAGGACAAGAAAACCATGGTTCTGCGCAGCAAAAGAAACAGTCGCTAAAGAGATAAGCCTACAGAATGGGAGAAAATCTTTGCCAGCTATACATCTGACAAAAGAATTATAGCCAGAATATACAGGGAGCTCAAAATACTAACCCCACAAAGAATCAACAACCCACTGAATAAATAGGCAAATGAACTGAACAGACAATTCTTGAAAGAATAAGTACAAATGGCCAATAAATATATGAAGAAAGGCTCAACATTCTTGGCCATAAAGGAAATGCAAATTAAACAACGAGATTCCACCTCACTCCAGTCAGAATGGCTATCATCAATAACACACACAACAAATGCTGGCAAGGATATGGGGGAAAAAAAAGGTACCCTTATACCCTGTTGATAGGAATGAAAATTAGTGCAACTGCTATGGAACGCATTATGGAGAGTCCACAAAAAAACTAAACACAGCTGGGTGCCAGTGGCTCACATCTGTAATCCTAGCTACTCAGGAGGCAGAGATCAGGAGGATTGTAGTTCAAAGCCAGCCCAGGCAAATAGTTTGCAAGACCCTATCTCAAAAATACCCTTCACAGAAAGGGCTGGCGGATTGGCTCAGGGTGAAGACCGTGAGTTCAAGCCACAGTACCACAAAAAAAAAAAAAAAAACCTCTACAATCCAGCGATATCATTCCTGGGCATATAGCCGAAGAAATGTGGATACCCATGGGAGGGGGGAAGGGTGAAGGTGAGATAAGATGGTGGATATATTTTATATTCATGTATGAAAATAAAGTAATGAAACCTGTTGAAATTGTTCTAAGAGGGGAGGGGGGATTGGGGAAAATGATGGAGGGGGTGCATCTAATTATGACATATTCTAAGCATATATGAAAATGTCACAATGTATCCCCCTGTACAACTATTATATGCTAATAAAAACATGGTTTATTCATCCTTGTAACTCAAAACAACCTACACATGGCCACTAGAAATCAGAGTTCATGTAAAGAATAGGTTTCCCAAGGGCCTAGAGATGCCCATTCTCATCTACTTTCCTTCTGGTCTATCTTGCAGGTGCTAAAAGTATGTATTATGAAAACCAAGCACACATAACAACTATATCTTAACAAACCAGTAAACAGAATAAGAACAATATATTCAACTAATAAATTTTATGTTTACATAAAAGGTAGAAGGACAGCTTAGATAAAATCAAAAAAAGTACAGAGAAAAGGGTCACAGGTCAAAGAATGACAAAGATTGAGAGAAAAAAATTGGACTATCTGCATTATATATGTCATATATATGTGTATGCATGCATATATGTACATCCATGCATATGTTAGATATGTATATAGCTCAGAAATCCTTAGTTTTCTAAGACCCAAGATTAAGAACAGAAGCTTCTACTTGCAATGTTGTACAAACATTGCATATGTACAAACACAGCCATAGTATAAAAGGAACTATTATATTCACAAAACAATCAAATTTAACTTAGAAACTGTTTATTTCCCCTAAGTAATATTCATCCAAGATTTCTACTTTTTTTAAGCATCAGAAATCTATTGTCGCTCAAGGTAACTCTTTTAATAGAATAGTATTTCATTAGGAAGCATTCTATTCATTTAATTTCAAACTAGAGTGATACTTCTAAACAAGATATGCAAAGGTACTTAATTTATTTTGATTATATTTATTATTTTAAATTCTTAATCATCTTTAATCAAGAACAAATAGTGTTCAATTTTTGAGGATTGACTGGTGAAGAGACCTTCAGATAACTTGTCAACATAAAAATAATTCAAACATCCAATTTCAACAATAGAAAAGTCACTGCAACACAAAAACACATTAACTGCCATGAATCCTTAAATCCAAAGGGTGGGTAGTATTTATAATAAGAAAGAAAAAGCAAACAAAAATAATGCCATTTTTACTTACACATATATATTACTATTGACAGATGATAGATTTGAGAGTTTAAACATTTTGAGTTAAATTGCTAAGCTCATCTCAGATGTAAACTATTATCAGTATAAAAATCACAAAAATCTTAAATCATTGTTTTTTTTTTTATTCATTGGTCTTAACAAATTATATGCAAAATAACATGAAGCCAAACAATAATACATGGACTAGGTACATCCTAATAGAAAAATTACTGAATGTTTGAAATCTCTGTAGTTTCAACATATGCCATCCTAAAGTTATTCTCTGAGTAAAACATGCTCACCACTGAACGGTTGCTATGGAAAATTCAAATAACTTTCCTGAATAATTTGTGATTATTATTGTAGTCAAATAATCTATAATGAGATTCATTTTAAGGCTGTTCAAGGATGATTAGCTACAGAAAAAATACTGAACAAAACTGTTCTTTGTCCTAAGTACACGAATATAAATTAAATTTGTCAGTATCTTGCTTTCTTCTTCCCATTCTACCACCTTTTCTCTCTTCCCATCACTCGGCCTTTCATGTATACATATATTGACTGGAAAAAATAGCATCCAATTGAAAAAAGCTAATAACTACTTACATGATGAAGCTTATCCAAAAGTTCTCTCTTTTGTCTGGGCTCACATATCAATTTTACTACATTAAAAGTCATAATCATTAACAGTTTTAACTATATTCCCACATTTACAGAGCACTGCATTAGTTTCAAAACAGTTGAAACATATACAGACTTTTTTCCTTGTAAAAACCATGTACTTACCTTGTGTCTGCATTTAAGTACAACTCCATAGGCACCTATAATAAAAAAAAGAAGTAAACAATCAGGGATATGTATACAAACTACAGCTCTTTTTTTGCAGGGGTGGGGAGCTGTACTGGAGTTTGAACTTGGGTCTTCATGCTTGTCAAACAGGTACTCTAGCACTTGAGCTGCTCCTCCAGTGCATTTTGCTCTGGTTATTTTGGAGATGGGGGTCTCACTCACAAATTATTTGCCTGTGTTGGCTTCCAACTGCAATCCTCCTGATCTCAGCCTCCCAATCCACTAGGATTACAGTGTGATCCACTGTCGCCCAAACTACAGCTCTTGAAGAAATCAGAGGTCTGCTATATTTACATTGCTTATGAGTGTATGTTATAATAACGATATCTAAAATGAAAATTACTCTAGAGTGATAATGCAAAGATGAGCCACACACAAATACAGCATGGATCTCTTATTATATTTTTTTATAAACCAAGAGTATAAATGAGTTATTTCTCCCAAAAAGAAGTTTTAGATGTTTCTCCTTTTTTGGGGGGGGGGGTTCTGGGGTTTGAACTCAGGGTCTACACCTTGACTGTTCCACCAGCCCTTTTTTGTGTTGGGTTTTTTCAAGATAGGGTCTCACGAACTATTTGCCTGGGCTAGCTTCAAACTCTGATCCTCCTGATCTCTGCCTCCTGAGTAGCTAGGATCACAAGCATGAGCCACTGGCACCCAGCTCTCCTTTTAAAGAGAAGTTCATGAGACATTTTAACCTAAACTTAAAAATTTTTGCAGACAAGACTGGATCACAAGACTCTGTAAGTAAATTAAAATTAACTCAAAAGGTTCTAGGAAACTTAAAAGCTAAGCTAGTAACTTCCTTAAGAGTAAGCTCAAGCACAACATCTACCCAAGTAAGGCTAGGAGTCACTTAAATTCTCTTCTAGGATACTGGAATATCTTTCCTAACTTGCAAAGTAGTACAGAAGTACAGATCGGAGCTGGGGATGTAGTTCAGTGGTAGAGCTCTGGCCTAGAAGGTCCTGGGTTCCATCCCCAGGCACCATACACACAGACAGAGGGGGGCAGGGAGGGAGGGGGAGAGGGGACGAGAGGAAGAGAGAAGGAAAGAGGGAAGGATATATACACACATACACACACACACACACACATGTGTACAAATTTCAGCAATCCAATAATGACTAGTAGGATTTGCTACCTCTGTATCATAAAAACTCGGCTTATGGGCACAGGCCAAGAGCACTCCCACTTTCGTTAGTATAGATTGATGAGATCCACTCTTAATTTTTGGGTTACGTATCCTATTGTATAAGCAGTAAACTTGCTTTCTTAGAAGCGGAACACAAAGGCAGTACCTTGACAGCATGGTATCCAGGAAACTGAGGTTAAAGTTATAATGTGAAAAATCTAATTAAAAGAATCAAATATAATGTATGATAACAGAACTTTGAAGAAACATCAAGAACATTTTCATTAGTGGTAAAACTAAACCTGAAAAGATCCAACTTTTGAAAAGAAATTGGGGAATGTGTCTGTAACAGAGTCTAGGGCACCTAAAAGTCTCCCTGGCTTTGGTGGAAATGGATGAATCTTATTATCATCATTAAAATGGAACCAGCGATGAGAACCAGCCAAAGTAACTCGACAATCACCAGGAAATCATCCAAGCCTTACTCAACAGCCCGTGCCCATTTTTCTATGAGGTGAACACGCACTATCTTGGCCACAGGAATGTTGAATTTGCTTGACAGATTTTTGTATGTTTTATATGTATTTTGTAGCCAAAAAATACCAGAGATGGTTTACAAGGAAAAAAATAATATTGCAGTCTTGGTTCTGATTGTAACTTAAATTAACATAATTCTAATTTACATGACAGTCTGGCAATTTTGGTTAATCTGAGCCAATACCAAAGAAGATTAGCAACTATTGATTTACTGAGAAAAACAAGGTTATTATCCTGAAAAAAATTAGGCCCAGAATTTAAAACATTCCAACCTTGTTACATCCTAAATGTTGACCTTCTCTAGTCAACAGCAGCTTTATTGCCTCAGTTTATAATTGCAATACTTTTGAAAACTAAAACTTTAAAAAACTGCTGTAGACTGGGGACATGGCTCAATTGCAGAGCACCTGCCTAACAAGTGTAAGGCCCTGAGTTCAAATCCCAGTACCTCTAAAAGGCAGCTATTATAAAACAGACACAGTAGGTAAGACATTGAGAATGAATTTTATTTACATAATTAGTATCAGTGAACATATGGAAAAAGTTGACTAGTGAAGGAAGTCTTCACTATATGAAGACTTTTTATATGCTTTTTATATGCTTTCAACTTTCAGACCCTGAAACAAGCACCTGATAATTAGACTCTAATAATTTTTATTTATTTGAAAAAGATTTGCCAACTTAATGTTACAATCTTGAAGAGCTTTGTTGTTCATATAAATTTTTAAAACTTCTTTTGAAATTCAAAATTTGAAAAATATGAAATTTTTATAATGTTTGCTTTACTGATATAAATGCTAAGAGACTGTAATTGTAATCATTTATACCCTCTTAAAATCATTTATCAAGATTCCCATATGGTTATCTTTAAGTCAAGAGTGAAAATTACTAAGCAGGAAAAACCAGAGAGAAATGATTTTTTTCTAGGAGTTAATTTGTAAAATATGAATTATCATACTTTATCAAACCAATAATATCACTGGTTATAAGCATTTTATGTACTACTAAGAAAGGAAAAAATACTGCCAATTAAACCAATGACATGCCACTGATTATAAGACACATCCTGACTTCAGATGTTAAAATATAACCAAATTATGGCCCTGAAAATTTATAAACCGGTTTGTCACTTATTTATCCATTTATTTGACACATGTTAAATAAAATTTAACATATACAAATAAATTTTAAGTTATTCAAAGTAAGTTTAGCAGATATAATATTCAACAAAATATACATACATAGACTAAGGAAACCACAATTGCTACTACTGAAAAGAATGAAATGGAGTCTTAAGAAATCCTTGATTTATTAAAATTTAAAGGGTTTTAAAATGCTATTAATTTTCAATTGAAGACTAAGACTCAAATAGTTTAAGTAATTTTATTTTCAACATTGTTTTCTTACATGTACATCTGAAATTATATAGGTTGAATTAACAGGATTTGAAGTAAATTTTGTGAAAGGTATAATTGTACACTGCTCAAAAATTCAAGGAATATGAAAATTCCAACTTACCTTCACCTACAACCCCAAGGATCTCAAATTTATTCATCACATTACCAATGTTAGGAATCTTCATGAAGACAAACTCCTCTTTTGATGTAAGCCACAGAACATGGCATCAAAAAAGAAATCTCTGAGAAAGGTATACAGTAAGTAGAACTAAAAATGTCCAAAGGGAGAAATTCTCAATGATTGACAGAATCTTTTACATTATTTCTTCTAATGGTGAAATATTAAATGAATCCCTGAAAAAAAAAGAAACATTAAAAAGTCATTAGTTTTATATTGTAGTATTCTAATAATCCATTCTAACTTTTTATATAGTTTTTAAATCTATGTTACTATTTCATATGCTAAAAAGAAATAAGAGAAAAGAACCCAAAATGGAAGGGACCTTACAGAATCTGAAATGAATAACAGCCATAATGAAATGGACCAGAGACAAAAAATTAACCCCAGGTAACTTTTGAAATTAGTACTTTACCTACTGTCCTCAAACAAAAAACAAAAATAAAAACATATGTCGTATTCAACTACTTACACATTTGCTTTTACACTGATATGAAACTGTTTTTGGTAGTACTGGGGTTTGAAATCAGGGCTTTGTACTTGCTAAGCAAGCACTTTACCAATTAAGCCACACATCCCAAGTTCTTTTTTTGCTTTAATTTTTTAATTTAATTAAATTAATAATAATAATAATTAATGATTAATTATTTATTATTATTATTATTATTATTGGTGGTGGTACTAGGGGTTTGAACTCAGGGCCTCGCACTTGCTAGGCAGGCACTCTACCACTTGAGCCACTCCACCAACTCTTTTTTGTGTTTGGTATGTGAACTATTTGCCAGGGGCTGACTTTAAACCACAATCCTCCTGATCTCTGCCTCCATGAGCCACCATGAGCCACCAGCACCCAGCTACTTTAGTTATTTTTAAGATTAGATCTTGCCCTTTTACACAGTCCAGCCTCAGGTAGCAATACTCCTACTTATGCCACCTACACAGCTGGGATTACTGTTATACACCACCATGCCTGGCATGCTTTTTGAGACAGGATCCCACTAACTTTTCTTTTTCTCTTTTTTTTTTGGCCTGGGCTGGCTAGAACAGTGATCTCCTATCTCCAGCAACCAAGTAATGAAACTTCTTTATTTGTATTCTAGAACCTGAATAAATAAGCAAGTATATTACAGATAATGAGACCTTAGTTTTTTATTCTCATAATAGAGAGTCGTCAAGATGAAAAGGGGAAAAACTTGTGAAAATAACTTTAGCTATAGACTATGGTTTTCAACCCCAACCTCACTTGGCATAATGGGAATTTTTAAAAAGAACAATGCCTAGGTATAACCTGAGAAAAATAAATCAAAATTTACAGGACTGAAAAAAGGGAATGGTGAGGCTTGGAGGTGAAGTTAACAAAATATATTCGATAGAAACAGATGTAAATGCATATACAACTCACATGCATATGTTCTCTAGCTCTGTCCCCCCAGGAGGGCCTAGGAGCAATGATACCTCAATAACCATGATCACAGATCCAATAAAAGGAATGGCTGATTCAAAGGCTAGAGCAGGAAAAGTACAAAATGACCCTAGGATATATTTATGGGGTGCCAGAAAATAAAAAATGCTCAAAGAAGGATAGGTCACGTCAAATGAACATAGGAGTCAGCTTAAAGTGACTTCCACAGGGCTAATAGGTCATATTTGAGCAGCAAAATAAATAAGGATATGAACAGATTCTAATTTGTAGAATACAGCATAAAGGCACAAATCCTAATGACACAAATAGGGAAGAAGGGAAAACTTTTTCATAGTTTAGCTCCAAATAATAAATATAGTGTTGGAATTAGAAAATCACCATTTGGCAAGCACTCTGGTAATAATTTTTTCAAGCAAGTATCATCAATATGTGCTAACTAATATGTTGAATGTTTGATGGAAAACAGGGTATCTATTCTCAAAGTATCTGCCTACAAGATACTATTAATTATGAAGGGAAAAATACTAATTTTGTAGTGAAGAATTCTGCCAGACAGAACTTTAATTAAGTGATTGAAGTTAACACCATCAATAATGGAACAAACCAATAATATATACCTCCTGATAGGATGCATCACACATTATTACTTTATGTCATTTCTGCGAACAATGTAATACCTGAATCTAACCACAAGAAACAATAGACAAGCCCAGGCCCAGGGACATTCTACTAAATAACCATCCTGTATTAATTTTTAAAAGTTCAGTAACTAATCCAGATTAAAGAAAATTAAGAGACATGATAAATACAATGTGCGATCTTGAGTTAGATCCTGGAAAAGAAAAAATAATTTTTTAACTTATCAAAGACAACAGACAAAATTGAAATGTCTACAGATTAACTAAAAGTACTGATTTAGATAATAGTACTATGGATACAAAAAACAATGGTATTGTTTTTAAGAAATAGCACCAAAGTCTTTAGAGGTAATGAGGTACCATGTTTGCAATGTAAACCACTCAGAAAAAAATTTGTATGTATGTGAAAGAAGAGAAGAGAGAAATAAAACAAATATAATAAAATGTTAACATTTGGGGAATCTGGGTGAAGGCAATAAGAAATACAAAGGTCTTTGTACTACTTTTCCAATTTTTCTCCAAATCTGAAATGCTTTCAAAACAAGTTATTTTATTTCAAAAAACCTATATCCTACTTCTACAAAGAATAAAAGAGGAACAAAAAGTAACAAAATATTGGTTTAAAAGGAAGAAGTAAATTTAAAGACATTTTCTTTCCTATGAAACTTTAAACTTTTATAAAGTAAGAGTGCCCCATGTGGTATGGGTAAGTATTGACAAGAAGTATCCTTTCAAACAAGGATGATGGGAATATGCACATAATTAAATGATTTTAAAATGCTGATATTTTGATAAAGATGTAACAGAAAAATGTACAACATACATTCTTAAAGGTGAACTATCAGTCTCTTTAAAAATTAATAAGATGACAAGGAGTTCTACTATTAATACTTATTAACATTATTAAACATCTTGGTAGGTTCTAGCCATCCCAGTGAAGTGGGAAAAATCAAATAAAATGTAGAGAACTAGAATTTGCTAATATCATTATCTACATAGAAAATTCAGTGGGGGAAGGAGGATAAAGGAGAATGATGGAGGTGCTGAATTCAACTATGATATATTGTAAGAACTTTTGTACACCCCCGTACGACAATAATTAAAAAAAAAGAAAAGAAAATTCAAATTTACAAATTATTAGAATTGTAAGTGTTTAGCAAGGTGGTCAAACATAACCATAATATATATCAATTATATTTGTACACATCAAGAAGAAACAGTACTGTAACTCCTGTTCTGTTATAAACCACATTTACACTAACAACAAAAATGCATTTAGGATTTAACATGACAAAAAATATTTAAGATCTCTAATCAAATGTATAAAATTTTATTCAAAGGAACTGAAGAAGACCTAAATAAATCAAATTATCCAAATTTTAAGCAAGGATGATTCAGTACTATAAAAGGTCAGTTCTTTCCATGTTGATCCATACAGTCAGTGTAACTTCTAATCAAAACCCCTATTTTTTCTGAGGGATTAAGACAAGTTAATTTTAACATACATATGGAAAAGCCAAATTCCAAGTATAAGCAGCATTTTCTTCCTATAAGAAAAATGGAAAAAAAAGAAAAGAAGACTAAGAAAAGAATGGAGGTTTGGCCTTGAGAGTAGGATCTGGCAGGATACCCCATGGAGTTTGTGGAGGGTTATGACAGAACTATGGAAATTAAGACATGGTGGTTTGGGCACCAAGGCTGACCAATTATCCAGTGGAACAGATGTGAGAGCCCAGAATAAACCATACTTCAACATTACCACAGCTTCTTAGTACTTAAAGGAGTCAGAGTAATCTTTCATAAGTCAGGTCGTGTCACTTCTCTCTCAAAACCTTCTAATGGCCCTAAGGACAAAAGTCAAAATCCACCTTAGTCACAGGCCTTATTTCTCCTCCTCGGATACCACTCTTCCTTCACTAGCTTCATTCCAACCACAATGACCTCCTTTCACTATAACTAATTTAAGAAAATTTAACTTTATTTCAATGCAATGACATTTTTCAAAGGATTATTGTGCCATTTAGAAAAAATGTTATAATTTGAGAAAAAATTTATTCTATTCATTCATTAAGCAAATAATTCCTGACTGCCTCCCATGTTGCTGGGAATTGATAAATAAAACTTTACACAAGATAGTGGTGAATAAGACAGGAAAAGCCCTTGCTCTCATGAAGCTTTATGTTTTGCTGAGGGAGAAAAATACAAGATTATTATTAAATACTGACCCATATTACAAAGAAGTAAAAGAGATTGACTGATCAGACAGGGAGAGCTTTTCTAAAAAGGTGACTTTTGAGATTGCAGTAACAAGAAACCGGCCATATGAAAATCTACATCGGTCATATTCCAGAAGCAGTCAAAATGCTTCTGAGAAATGAATCTTCCTTTAATTTTCTAAGGCTTGTTTGGAAAAACACCCAGGAAACATTTAAATATTTTATTCTCTGCCAATATTTTTATGGCTCATTTCAAAGGAAAAGAGATAAAAATTAAATCATTCGCACTAAGAATGTACTTGTATACTTATATATTTAAGTATATATAAAGAACATTTGGTCCTACTTAGTCTCTGTGACAATCACAACAGAGTAATGTATATAGAATCAAAACTTAAATATATGAGTGAATACATAATATAGGTATCAAGAATGGTCTTTTAACTACCAGCATTCAGACTGAGAGAAATTTATACTAAATTGGAGTTAGCTGCAATTTTGTATGAGTAACACTGATTAATCTTTAACAGAAAAAAGTTATAGAAACTGAGACACTTTAGCTTCTGGTAATGGCAAATTACATAACTTGGATGAAATGTCCCTTTGAGTAAAAATACAAATGGCTGGAGGAAATACTATTTAAAAACAGCTTAAAAGCTCCAAACACTTAACAAGATTGTGAAGAATTACCTGGACAAAATCAAGGGAAAAGAATAGAGCCCAGAGGTAATCAAAACCACTCCCAAACTGTTTTATCCCTTTTGGTATTTGAAGAGAAGATCCAGAAAAAAAAATATGAGCTGCTCTTGAAACACTTATAGATCCAAGAGCACAAAAATCAAAGCCAAGGGTGTTTCAAAAGGAGAAAATTTGATAAGTCACCATTCACTTG